CCGGCAAAGCCAGGTTTTGATGGCTTTTCGGAAGGCCTGGAGAGAGGTGAGGGTCCGAATCCCTGCGGGGAGCTCATTCCAGAGGGCCGGAGCTGAGCAGCTTGCAAGAGGTTGTGTTCTGCAACACAAACCGTTCGGTATATTTTAGTCTTTTGACATTGTATAGTTTTTGTATTATTGTATTGCAGGATGTTTACTGTATTTCCATGCAGTTAGTATAACTAACGGAAACAGGTTTAAGAAAGGGTGCTTGAGTCTTCCCGGGACAGAACCAAATCTTGAGTTTTTCCTCCCAACATTTCCTCAAAGGGTCTCACCTGGTTGTAATGCATGGTGACGTAAAGCTCGTTGTCGAATTTCAGCGGCTGGGCCCAAATCACGCGCCGGTACCAGAACATGTAGCCGCTGCCCACGTTCTCCATTTCCAGGGTGACATCCAGGATGTACTCCCGCCTGTCCAAAGGCCGGACGTTCTGATCTGGGATGTGGAAACACGGAGAGAATCAATTTTTTGAAGCAACCTACAAAACCCGGGGGCCATGAAGTGAGAAGCTTCCCTTTGCCAATGGATGGGCCAGCTGATTCTCTGCAACTCCACACACAAGACCAGGTATCTGGTGAAGGAAACATCTACGTTTCTCCTGCTTAAACCAAGAGAAAGAGGGCCACGTCTTTTGGCTTTATGTGGACCCCAAACATTGACGTTGAGGTGGATTACACAAACAGACAAAAGTTCATCAATGATTCCAGTGAATGAACTCTGTGGTACCCAACCAAGAATGAGAATTCGGGCTCACCTGATTAAACATCACATTAACCATTTCTATAAATTTTCCTGAGAATTATACATAGAAAAGGATGCAGCAGCTTCTCAGGTGGAGAAACACCCCCCGCCCCAGAATTAGGGGCCTAAGGCAGAGGTCAACAACCTTAAACACCCAAAGAGCCACAAAGATCCTAACTTGAACCCCCACCTCTCCCCCCATTGAATTATTATTATTTTTTAATTTGTAAATGTGTTTTTATTTTCCATTTTCATTTTCTTACAGTCACACATATACTGTACAGACCCGGGGCCATATAACATTAAACAATAAACACAGCCATTCCTCTTGTCAATA